TTATTATCAGCTGCTCCCTTACACTTTATTATCAGCTGCTCCCTTACAGTTTATTATCAGCTGCTCCCTTACTGTTTATTATCAGCTGCTCCCTTACTGTTTATTATCAGCTGCTCCCTTACTGTTTATCATCAGCTGCTCTTACTGTTTTTATCTATGAAAGATGCTATATAATAATAATAATAATGATAATAATAATAATAATAAATTTTATTTGAAGGCGCCTTTCAAATCACTCAAGGTCACGAAACAGGAAATACAAAGATAAAAACAATAAAATACAGATATCAATAAAATCAAACACAATTAATGATAAAATACATAATGACATTAAACAGAATAAGCAAGTTTGAAAAAGTGAGTTTTAAGGTTAAGATTTTAATTACGGATGTTCTGTGGAAGACATTTCCAGAGACGAGGGGCTTTGCGGGAAAAGGCTCTGGATCCCATGGTTGTCCTGCGGGCAGGAGGTATTACAAGAGAGATGGATAAGGAGGAGCGAAGACTTCTGGCGGGTGTGTAATAGAAAAGAAAATCAGTGAGGTACAGAGATGCCAAGTTATGGAGAGCTTTAAAAGTGAGGAGGAGAATCTACAAGTCGATGCAATATTTTATGGGTAACCAGTGAAGATGTTTAAGGATAGGGATGATGCGTTCCTTCGACATAGTTCTGGTGATGATCCGAGCAACTGTGTTTTGGACAAGCTGAAGTTTATGGATAATTTTGAGAGGAAAATCTGTGAGGAGGGAGTTACCGTAATCTAATTGAGAGGTGACTAGAGCATTGTTAAGGATGGCTGTGCTGGTGGGGGTAAGAAATGAACAAAGATGGTTGAAGTTTTGAAGTTGAAAATATGCAGACCGAGTAACTTTATTGACATGAGATTCAAAAGATAAAGTGTTATCAAGGATGACACCCAGACTCTTAGCTGTAGAGGAGGAAGAAACTGTGGAATCATCAACATTAATTGTGAACATGTTACATTTGGATAAGGTAGAGTTGGTGCCAACAAGGAGGAATTCAGTTTTCTTTGAGTTCAGTTAAGAAAGTTTTGATTAAACCATCATTTGATTTCACAGAGGCAGTCCGAAAGGAATGATGGTGTAAGGGTGGTGTTGGGCTTGGTGGAGAAGTAGAGCTGGGTGTCATCTGCATAGCGGTGAAAATTAATACCAATTTTTTTTAAAGATAAGGCCATGTGGAAGAAGATAAATGATAAACAAGAGAGGGCCAAGAACAGAACCCTGCGGTACACCTGAAATAACTGTGGAGGACTGTGACTTGAAGTTCGTAAGTTGGACAACGTGCTGACAGTCAGAGAAACAAGACTGAAACCAATTTATAACAATGCCAGAAAAACCGATGGAACGTAACGTAGCAAGAAGAATATCATGTGAAATGGTATCAAATGCTGCACTCAGGTCAAGGAGTATGATAATTGATAAGAGTCAAGAGTCGGCAGCAACCAGGAGATCATCGGTGATTTTAATCAAAGCTGTCTCGGTGCTGTGGAGGGGGCGGAAACCTGACTGAAGTTCTTCAAATAGATTATTATCAGAAAGATGACTGTGAACCTGGGCTGCAACTGTTTTTTCAAGTATTTTGGAAATGAAGGGTAGGTTAGAAATTGGTATAAAGTTATTTAAGTCATTTGGATCAGCACCATCTGTGATGGACTTGCCACCCGTCCAGGGTGTACCCCGCCCCTCGCACAGTGATTGCTGGACATGGGCACCGGCGATCCCCATGACCCAAAATGGAAGAAGCCGGTAAAAGATAATGCATGGATGGATCAGCATCTGTTTTTTTTTTTTTATTTGAGTTATTGCAGCAGTTTTGAATGATGGTGGGACAAAACCAGAAGAGAGAGATAAATTAATAATATTAGTTATTAGAGTAGATAGAGAAGGAAGACAGGCTTTAACTACGTGTGTAGGAAGCGGATCAAGCTGACAGGTAAAAGATTTGGATTTGGAGATGAGACTGCAAACTTCTGACAGAGAAGGGAGTTGAAAACTGGAGATAGGTCCATAAATTTGTTGCAATAATCACTGGTGTACATGTGTGATGGGAGAGTATCCAGGGGTTGTAAAATGGTGTTAATAGTAGAAAACAATCTTCTGGTGTTCCCATTACTTGTGCCAATTAAATTAGCATAGTAGGCTGATTTAGCTATGCAGACAAAATCCTTATAGTATTATATATGGTCTTCAAACAAATTTTTGTGAATAATAAGTCCTGTTTTATTATAGTCATTCCAAACGGCGTCCTTTAGATTTAAGACAGCGGAGTTCTTGAGTATACCAGGGAGCAGAGTGGGAGAAGTGAACAGTGCGTATCTTAACTGGGGCAAGTTCATCCAAAATACTTTGAAGACTGCTGTTGTAGTACGAAACCAGGCTATTAGGACAAGATAGATTATTTTAATTAAGGGAGACATCCAGTTTGTTAGAGAGTACAGAAGAATCAATGTTCTTGACGTTATGGAAATCGTCTGTCTCTCCTTCCTGTCCTCTCAACCAGCCGGTCAAAGCAGATGGCCGCTTGAGCCTGGTTCTGCTGGAAGTTTCTTCCTTTTAAAAGGGAGTTTTTCCATTCCACTGTGCTTGTTCAGGATGGGAGACTGCAACGAAGCCAAGATTCAACTTGTCTTCTGGATTCCTTAGATAGAGAACTGTACTAATTGGCTTTTATGTTTGTGAATGTTTCTGTAAAGTGCCCTGAGACAACTTTGTTGTGATTTGGCGCTATATAAATAAACTGAATTGAATTGAAATAGTACGAGATGACTGATATCTAGAAAGTTGTAGATTAGCATTAAAGGAGACCAGTTTATGATCTGATAGACAAGTTTGATGCAACACAATGAGAGGGAGCTATACCAGAACAACAAACTAGGTCAAGAATGTGACCTTTACAGTGAGTGGGAAAGTCAATATATTGTGCAAGTCCAAAGCTGTCCAGGGTTGATATAAAATCCTTAGTTAAAATATATGTGGGTTTGTCCATATGAACATTAAAATCACCCAGTAGAATCATATTGAGAGATTTTGAGCAAATGAATGACAAAAAAGAGAAAATTCATTTAAAAAAAATTATGTTGTTCTTGGGTGGATAATAGATAACAACTAAAATAGTAGAAACTGCTCCATTTATCTGTAATACAACACTTGCAAATGAACTAAACCTGGGTACAGTCACTGGAGATATCCTGAACTTCTTTTTATAAAGTATCGTGACCAGTCTCACGGGGTTGGCAGGTATAAACAAACCCAGGGGGGGTAGTTTCATTAAGTAGAGCAAAATCATTGGGTTGTTGCCAAGTTTCAGTTAAACAGAAGAAGTCAAACTTATGCTCACTGATTAGATCGTTCAGTAACAGCAACAGCCCTTGTTAGAAAGTGAGCGAGTGTTAAATAATCCAAACGAGACGAGTGGTGGATGGCTGTGCACCAGCTGACCTGGCCAGGTCAGCCAGTGCACTATGATCCGTGGTTCATCCAGATGATACAGACGAGTCCGGATGAGAGGACCAGAAGGACTGTATTGGCTTGCTGTCATCAAAAAAGAAGTTTCGCAGAGATCTGCGATGAATATATTTTCTTCGGTTGTGACATAGGATGGAAGGATAAAGCAGGAGTGCTGGTGGAAGTACAGTAGTGAAGACTCGTAGTCAGAGTAGTTCTGCTGACGTGTACTGCAGAGTCGATGTCACCGGGTGGAGTATGAAGAATATGAGGATCCAGAAGAGTGTAAGCCACATAGCAAGCCTGTTGATCAACATTACTGCTCCAGGGCTCACCCAGAAAATCCAAGGATGAAGAGCTGACAGCTGGGTGCCTGCGGCGTTTCGCAGGACACCACACAGGTGAGTTTACAGTCCAACAAACTGAAGGAATCAGATGTAATATTTGGAGAATGGGATTGACTGAAGCCCAACGCTAATTCACTATTGCACAAGAGACAAGTGTAGCGATATCAAATAGCATCAGTAAAGACAAAATATTTTTTCTCCGGGAGCAGCGACAGTCAAGTGCGCCAGCGTTCACTCAAGCCAGAAGTAAGGGGTGATGACTCGAACTCTCTTCTACAACACTTCCTTAATTCTGATTCTCGGCTCTTTTTAAATCTAACCTTAAAACTCACTTTTTCAAACTTGCTTATTCTGTTTAATGTCATTATGCATTTTACCAATAATTTAACTATAAATGAAGTTTACTTACTTACACATGGATACAACTAAATTAACCTTAACTAGTGTCATTACGCATAAATGTATAAATGTCTGGACTGGATCAGTGAGGTTTGAACCAGGAAGTGTGTGATCTCTGACCTAGACTGAGGCACCGTTTTGTCCACGAACAGGAAGATGGCATTCTCCGAAGGCAGCTTGATCCGTTTCCTGATGATCCACATGAACTGAGCCACCGTGATGTCAGATGGTACCAGGTACTTCCTCTTATCGATGTCCACTATCTGTGAGCCGGACACCTTCTCCACAATCACCTGACAGACAAAGAGAGGTCATGGGACCCAACCAGGAAGCCTTCACAGTAGCTTTAACATTGCCCCATGTCACTCACCGGGACCCTGTCAGGGTACTTGCTGTGGATTTTGGCGGACTCTATGCATCGATGTTCTGCAGAACAAAAAGAAAACTGGTGTCAAGCAACAAAATTTAGAGGTTTTACTGATATTTTTTTAATATTTCCTTCTTCCAGGTGCCCTTTGTCTATTCTTGGAGGTAACAACCTCCAGGAGGAAGACCCAGACCTCCCTCTACAAAAGGTGTTCCCAGGCCAGAAAGGATAAAAAAAAAAAAAAGAAATCCCATGGCAGGTTCTAGGTCTGACCTGGGGTCTCCTACTAATTGGACAATGAAAACATTATCTGGAGGCATCCAGGAGAAACTCTAATCAGATGCCTAAATCACAGTAATTGACTGCTTTTAATGAGATGGAGCAAGGCTCTAATCTAAGTTCCCCCCAGATGAAGGTGCTCCTCATCTCATCCCATAGGCTGAACCTGATCACCTTACAGAGGAAGAACCATTCCTATTGTCCTACTGTCCTATCGGGCTGCTGTTGTTGCACCATATTGTTTTACATTATTAGTGTTTAGCGTATATCTTAGATCTTTTATCGTACCATTTGGCTTTTATTTAGCGTATATCTGAGATCTTTATTTACAGTTTTTTTAATACTTTATATTTTGCTGTTTATGGGTGTAATTGTGCACATAATTTCATTCCATCTCATGTACCACATGTGGTGGAAACAACAATAAAGTTGATTTGAACTGGAACTATTCTTCTGGTCAAGATCTGCATGACTAAACACAAAGGCTGGAACGTAGACGAACCAGTAAACTGAGGGGTTTTTTCAGCTCAGCTCTTTTTTCACCACAACAGACTGGAGCAACACCATCATTACTGCAGACAAGACCCCACTCTATCCAATCATCACTCAGTGATAGAAGAATTATATTTATCATATGTGATTTTTACTTTTTATTATTGTCAGTGTTTTTGACCATGTTCAATTGTGTAAGTCTACAGCATGAAGAAAAACAACCACGTTAGGATTTTGTTTGTTACTTTCCTGACTTTTCAGACACTTAAACAAATGGACTTCTCAGCAGACCAGCCAAACTGTGCGGGAGGAGGTGAGGTGTCTCCCAGCTGCTTTGAGTGTAGAGATGGGAAAGGAAATACTCCTTGTTGGGTGCTGAGAAATGAATGTACAGGTGCTGGTCATAAAATTAGAATATCATGAAAAAGTTGATTTATTTCAGTAATTCCATTCAAAAAGTGAAACTTGCATATTATACTCATTCATTACACACAGACTGATATATTTCAAATGTTTATTTCATTTAATGTTGATGATTATATCTGACAACTAATGAAAACCACAAATTCGGTATCTCAGAAAATTAGAATTTTACGTAAGACCAGGCTGTGGCTGAGTGGTTGGAGCTAGGGATGCACCGATCCACTTTTTCCACTTCCGATACTGATATCTGGGGTTTAGTATCGGCATATAACGATATGATACCGATCTGAGACAGAAAAACGGTGCTGAATTCCGTTCAACAAAGCATGTTCTTTAGGGTGAAATCTCTGGAGATGCTTGATTATGTTAGTAGTGTTATAACTGGAGGTTCTATTTCATATAGGCTTCGCCCTTAAAGGCTGTCGCTGATGGGTTTTATCCCATTATGCGAAGCATTACACTGAAAAGTTTAGCCCACGCCCTCCTGCTGTGTGGGCCCCACCCGGTCCGTATAAGTTACGTTAAGAGCGGGTAATTGGCTCCCAATTTTCTTCAGCAAGCTAATAGCACTGGCCTATTTCTGGGTAACTCCTGATCAAGCCGCGCAGCTCATCCCGCCCCCCGGCCCGCTGGAGAGATCGTCGTGAACAGAGGCAGAAACAACGACGTTCCACGGCCGCGTCGTCGTCGTCTCGCTCAGCTCCACCACCAGCCCCGCCCGTCAGAAACCAGCCCTCTTCATCCCGGCAACCAACAGTTCAGCGTTTTCCCAGAGATTGCCAGCAGGCGGCGCCCTGGGCCAACAAATCGCAGAGCTCACGGGGTAAAAGATTCAAGAAATGGCGGTCTGCGGAGGGAGTGTGTAAAAATGACAAGTGTTGAAATAAAACATCATTCAATGATTAAAGTGTCTGTTTTTAGCCAGTCTGTAAGCTCGGATGAACTCACAGCGGCTGCGCACACATCCTCCACACAAAACGAGCCGGTGTCCTTAAAAAAAAAGTTTTTCAAAATCACCGTTGCTCCAAAACGAGACGAGACGCTCGCATGACACAACAGTGGTAAGCAAAATAACTCGTTTTCAGCTCGAGCTGCACAATCCTCACCCAAGCGGTGTCAAACGCACACTCGCGCGACGCGAACAGCCTTCACCCAAACGGCGTTGCGTTGATGATTGTGCACACACAGCTCCCCGGCGTTCACCGGCTCACATCGGCATAAATGTGAGACCGCAGGACGGGTCCGGTGAAGGACCTCGCTCACAGAAAGAGCGACACACGCCGCACCGAGGCAAATGCCTGCCTCCGTGGCGCGGGCAGCCTACACTCACCTCTTCTCAGCGCTCGGCCGCTCACGTCAGCATAAGTGTGAGACAGCTGAGCGAACCCAGTGACAAATCTCGCCCCCAGCAAGAGCTGTGTGTGTCCCACCAAAGAAAACGTGTGCTCCCACGGGGCTCGCAGCCTTCACTCAAATGGCATGGCTTAGATGAAGTCGCGCTCACCGCTTCTCAGCGATCGTCCTCTCATGTCAGCATAGATGCGAGATCACAAAGCGAGCCCAGCGCAGGACCCCGCTCGCGGCAGGAGCGACACATGCTTCACCGCAGTGGCGTCAAACGTGCGCCCCCGCGGCATCATCAGTTGTCACATGCTTCTCCTCAACACACGCCACCTAGACATGAAGGTGGGCTTGCGGTCTGAACGCAGCACACAGGCGTGACACGACGGCAGTCGAGGCGGTGGATTAGATGACATCCGTACAAAACATGACACATCACTTAAACGCGCGTCCACTCCACGAACATTACGCGGAGTGGCTAAAAACATGCTTGCCAGACAGATGGATGACCAGGTTGTTAAGCAGGGGCTATACGTTGCAATTTGAACCCGACCCCCTCCGTTCGGAGGAATTTTAGAGACGGTCCTGTCATCACCAGACCAAATCTTATTCCTAAATGCAGAAGTCCAAGAACTTCTGGTAAAAGAGGTGATCTCCAGGGTTCCTGACGGAGAGGAAAACACAGGGTTTTACTCACATTACTTCCTGGTTCCCAAACGGACCGGAGGAACGAGACCCATTTTGGATCTGTCAGTTTTCAACAAGGCGATCATGGACAGACCGTTTCACATGTTGACAACCAGACAGCTGTTGGACAACATCCAGAGAAACGACTGGTTTGTTTCCATCGACCTGAAAGACGCCTACTTTCACATACCGATCATCCCAAAACACAGAAAATTTCTGCTCTTCTCCTTTCAAGGGATGAAGTATCAGTACAACAGGCTGCCATTTGGTTATTCCCTCACGCCTTGTAAGTTCTCAAAGTGTGTGGAGACGGCCCTGCAACCGTTACACAAAACAGGGATGAGAGTTTTGTTTTATCTGGACGACCTGTTGCTGCTGTCATGCTCTAGATAGGAAGCAGCAATGCAGGCTCAGGTGTTGACATCACACTTGTTAAATCTGGGCTTTGCCATAAATTGGAAGAAAAGCTCGATTTTCCGGGCCCAGACGATTGTTTATCTGGGAGTGGAGCTAAACTCGACCACCATGCGGGCTCGTTTATCACAAACGAGAATCGACACTCTAAAAGACCAGCTCCACCACGTAAGACCTGGCAGAGTGGTAAAAGCTGTTTCCGTCATGAAGCCGTTAGGAACGATGTCATCAGCTCACACAGTGGTCCCGCTGGGTTTATTACACATGAGACGCCTCCAAAGGTAGTTTGCGCGTCTGGATCCAGTAAAACAAAAGACACGGATGATCACTGTTCCTCCCTCCATGAGAACAGACCTCCGACACTGGGGAAACACCCAGGCTCTGTCAGGTTGGGGGTGACATGCCTATCTCAAGCTGTAGGAGCATTGTGGTCCCATCACACATCAGCCCACATAAATGTTTTGTGATTCAACACTTTGCTCCTGTGCTACAGAATCAACATGTTTTGATTCACACAGACAACAAGGTGACTGCTACGTACATAAACCGGCACGGCAGGGGGGTGTGCGCTCAGCCCAGATGTTACACATTGCACGAAAACTACTGTGTTGGGCACACCAAAATCTGCTCTCCATTAGAGCAGTGTACATCCCCAGTGTTCTGAACAAAGGGGCAGATGTGATGTCCAGGGGCGGTCCACGCCACAGTGGCACAGTGTCTAGATCAGACCACACTTCAGCAAGTATTGGACTGTACAGATCAGGCACGCTTAGCACAGCATGTCAAGTCCAAGACTCGACAACAAAACAAGTTTAACTTACTAATAACTCGTCAACACCATCACTATTCCAATAACAACACATTCAGTGTAGGACAACACTCCAGTAGTCAACTACATGTCAGGGAGACAGAAAACTGGGTGAAGAATTTATCTGACAGACAGCTCACCCAGCCGGAGACAGAGATTCTTGCCAGGGGACTGAACTTTGTGGTTGCACCAAGTAGAATTCCTCTGGTGGAGATGATCACAGCTACTGAGTCAGCCATCCGCAACAACAAAATTAAAGAGGCTGAAGCAGAACAGCTCAGAATCAAAGTTTCATCCTGCCTCAGCAATGCCAAACCACCACCTTCCAACATCAGTAGAGAGGAGAGGGATGCACTCACCACTCTTAGCAAGGACAAAAACATCATCATTCTCCCAGCAGACAAAGGAAGGTGCACAGTGATTTTGAAACAGAAAGACTATCATGAGAAAGTTATGACACTCCTTAGTGACTTAAACACTTATGAACCTCTGAAAAGAGATCCAGGAAGTGGTTACAAGAAGAA